ACTCAACCTTTAAAGGTCCAGTGTGTAACATTTAGGAGGATCTAATGACAGAAATGGAATATAGTATTCATAGGTATATTTCCATTAGTGTTCAATATTAGTGTATTAGAAGGAGCCAATTTTACAGATGCTGAGAGTTACCTTCCATGGAGTCCACCATGTTGAACCAGGCTGTTTCTACAGTAGCCCAGAACGGACAAGCCAAACACTAGCTCTAGATAGGGAGTTTTGTGGCCACCATAGTTCCTCCTACACACTTTGCAGCCCATTCGAGATGCCACTTAACAGTATCTTTGTCAGCTCAAATGTAAGATGGCATGACTGGATAGCTAGTTATAGCAATAGCATAGCCTTACCTCCAAGGCTAAGGGGAAGCGTAACATTAACTACATTATTATATGAGCTTGTAGGTTATTTTGGCTAAAACACTGTTTGGGACTGATACATCCGGTGTCTGAGATCTGATGGAACACAATGCTACTGTCACCGGCCAGCCCTGCTCCTTTAAGACAGTGGCCCGGTGTGTGAGGGTGTGACGTTCAGGTGCAGGAAGGAAAAACAGAGAGAGAAGAGGTAGACATCCACAGTGACAGACAGACGTTGAAGAGCTAGCTCGTGTTAATGCCTAAGTGTTTAGTACACAGCAGTGTCCAGACAGAATTTGACCAGGCCTGGTGTTGTGTTCTGCCTTCGCTAAAGAACGGAATTGAATGTGCGGTTTTGCACGAAAGTCTCCACTTCGTCCTCCTTCCTCCCACACTTTGGCCCGGACTCTAAGGCGCTGGTTACCAGCAACGAGCCAAAACTTTAAACCATCTCCCAACTACGGTTCGGAGAGAGAGAGGTTAAGAAGGTAACACTACTAGTTTAGGGTAATTTGAGCTGCCCCATGCTGCTCTCTCAAAAAATAACATGTATTTCTATAGTAAACGTCTGAATAGTGTTTTGTTAGAAAGGAATATTGTAGAATTGTGCATATTTCCAGGGCTAATTAGCTGCCTTGCAGCATACTTTGTCCCTTTATTTCCATGTCAAATGCATGAAATATCAACTGGTGACTTTTTACCTGAGGGCTATTTCACAAAAGCAGAATTAAGAAATCAAGGATAACTGAAAAAGTGAGGCTTGACCTAGTCCAGTCTGAGCATCCTGGCTGAATAGGAAATACCTTTAAAGGGCCAATAAAACCCATGAAATGCAGTTTTCCACTTACCAAAAAGTATCATTTCACTGAAGGTTTTTTATCCCTTAAAATGACTTAATTTCATTCATGAGAGTGTGATGGCCACACTAGCAGCCACACACTGAAGAAAGAACATGGTGGTAACTCTATTATTTGTTTGATTATCTTTAGGTTTAGATCATTATACACAATTCTCAATAAATAATTGGACACAGATTTTGGCTTCATAATACACAGTTTTAACAGTAGGTTATCTTTTTTGGTGCACACATTTAGTTAACTTTATTTGTTAATTTTGGGTAGCATTATTAGTTTAATTAATTTAGCATATTTTTCATTGCATTAATTTAGTTTTCTTTGAGTTACCAGTTCCTGGGTGTTGCTGCTGGGGGTGTCTCTTGGCCATCAAAGGAAGTGCCGGCTGAATCAGAGACGCTTAAAAGGGGTTGGGAAGATAATTGGGCTGCACCATGTGAGCCTGCATCATAGGGAGAGGCAGTGGTTTCTCCTTGTTTAAGTTTTGTTATTTCTTTGATAATTATACTTTTTGATATTAGAATTTCAGTATTTGTCTTTAGTTAATATTAGGCTGTGTTATCTTGACATTATTAGAGCTTATTGTAGTTTGTTTAATGTTATGTGACTTTAGTTGGCAAAATCAATGGTTGCTGACTGAAAGTGATAACCCTGTTTATGTCTAAGTCTGTCTGAAATGAAGGAACCATTGTTTGCATTGTCAACAAGACTACCAGCAAAAGTTAAGTACAAATACTAAAGACAAACATGATTGGGGCAGCAGTAGCTCAGTGTGTAGGGACTTGGCTTGGGAACCGGAAGGGTCGCTGGTTCAAGTCCCACAGACTACCAAAATATAGAGTGGGGTGGACTGGTACTGGAGAGGTGCAGTTTCACCTCGGTGCACTGGCCGAAGGTGCCCTTGAGCAAGGCAGAACTATATCCCCAAGAAACCTCATGGGAAGCCGCTGGTAACGCGCAGCCCATCACTCACCATCTCTCTCTCTATTGCATGTCCAGAAGTCATGAAGTGTGTGTCAGCCTGTGTGTGTGTGTATAAATGAGTGAAAAAGAATAATTTCCACCTAGGGGAATTAATAAGTTTCTTCCTTCTTCTATCACACACAGGTGTATTCACTTATTAAACCCTTCTAGTGTGGTGTGTACAGTCTGGTTTGATCAACATCTTCCCTCACTCTTGTATTTTACACCTCTACTACCACAGAAGACATTTAGAAACACATCTAAAAATACAGAAATGGCTATTTTCCCTTTACCAAAATCTTTTTATTTTATTGTAAATGTTTATTTATGCTTATGAAGATAAGCAAATGTTTGTGTCTTTCACAAAACATTTGCCTGAAATATGCTAAAATGCTCAAAAAAGCTAAGAAAAATAGTGTGTAACCCAGCTGCAAAAAAGGTCTAAATAGAAATGAATACAGTTATAAACAAACTATTGATTTAGGTTTTAAGTTAATCCAATTATTTCTGTTACCGTGGTTGTAATAACTTAGTCAAATTTTCTTTCACTAAGTCCCGCTCCTCGCTATGATTGACAGGAAGTT